TATCTTGGATACTGGGAACACCGAGGTAAGTAAAGGAGACAAAGCTCTTGCCCTCATGAATCTAGCTAATGTATGTAGCTCATGATGCAGGGTGTGAAGACTGGGTCTCTGGCACGTGGTGGTAGATAGTAAATAAATATGTGGTGGGTGCTAAATGACCCAGTCTCTATATCAGGGGTTGGCACACTACAGCCAGTGGGCCAAATCCAGCCTGCTGCTGGGTTTTATATGACCTGAATGTCTAGAATGGTTTTTACATTTTTAAGTGGTTGAAAAACATCAAAAGATTACTGTTTTGTGACATGAAAATTATATGAGATTAGAACTTTAGTGTCTGCGAGTAAAGTTTTATTGGAACGTTTGTCTCCACATGGTTTATGGCCACTTTTGTGCTACATTGGCAGAGCTGAGTAGTTGTGACAAAGACTATATGGACCACAAGCCTAAAATACTTACTACGTATATAGCTTTCTATAATTCTATTTTGCGGGGAAAGTGCTTTCAGAATTCCAATCTTGAAGCCTCTCCAGCTCAAGTCATCGGCAGTGGTACCTATAGTGTGAAGTAGTGGGACCTGTAGTATGAAGCAGCACTTCAGCACCAGGAAATGGGGCAGTAAAAATCTGAGGGGAGCTCAAGACCTACTTTCTCAACTGTCTGGGAGCTTATCCTCAGTTGAACTCAGGCTCCTTCACCTCACCCACCTTCTCTTCTAATGCTCCCTCCTACTCCTTCTGTATTAGTTTCCTACTGCTGATGCAACAAATTACCAAAAACTTAAAACATCAGAAAGTTAATGTCTTACAGTTCTGGAGGTCAGAAGTCTGACATGGGTCTCACTCGGCTGAAATCAAAAGCTGCAGCCCTTCTGGAGGCTCTGGGGGAGCATCTGTGCCTTGCCTTTTCCAGCTTCTGGAGACTGCCTGCTCATAGCCCCTTCCTCCATCCTTAAATTTGGCAGCCTAGTGGTATCTTCAAATCTCTCTCTCTGTCTTACTCACACACACTCACACTCCCCTCCGTTTCTGTTGTCACATTTCCTTCTCTGACTCTGCCACCCCTGCCTCCTTCTGGTAAGGACTCTTCTGATGAGGTTGATCTCGTCTGGATAATCCAGAATAACCTCCCTATCTCAGGATCCCTTAACTTAATCACACACACAAAGTTCCTTTTGCCGGGTAAGGTAACATACTCACAGGTATCCACTAGGAATTAGAGCATGGCCATCTTTGGGGCGAGGAGTATTACTGTGCCTGCCACACCGTCTATCCAGTAACTCCATACATCTCTCTACCTCTGCCGAACAAAATGCACAACTGAAGGGAATCTCTCAAATTTTGTATCCACCAGCCAGGATATTGTAGTGGCTAAGAGTACAGGCTTTAGACTCTGAGGGACAAGTTGAAGTCATTTGTTGTTGAATGAAAGAATAACAATATGGCATCACTGTATTTGCTCAGTATAAGAAGGCGAGACATGCTTACTCCTGGTGTCTTAAAGCTTACATTTTGCTTCAAAAAGCAACATCTTCACTATTACAACTATCACAGAAATAGCCTTATTTCTTATGGTGGATTTGCATCTTTCTTTGATGTTGGAGAACTTCATGAATTTTCCAGAAACAGCCGACTTACTACAATCAACCTGAATGATGGGGTGCAAATTCAAATCTGAATCTGATCAACCCTTGAGCTCAGTAGTTCTCAACCGTGGCTGCATGGGTTGGTCAATCAGGAAACAAACAAACAAACAAACAAATGACTACGCACTAGAACCTGCCTCAGAACCTCTGGGAAGTCATTAGTCGAATCTCTTTCTTTGCACGTATTTACAATTTTCATAATATAAAGGCAAATATATTTTAAGCATGTAGACAGTGTGCACCCTAGGAACTCTAGGATGAGGCAACTGAGATGTGGAAACTTCATGAATTTGCTTGGTGACTCCCGCAACACTGGTCTGTGTAGTTCCCACGGTTGCCACATCTGGGGACTCTGTCCCTAGCTGTAGAATCCCAAATGAAGAGGTGAGGAGGAGGGAGAGAAACAGGCTGATTTTAGATTTTAGACTTCTAGGTACTTCATTGCAAATATGTTGATTCGAACCTTGTGATAATTCAGGTAAACCGTGGGTGAGTGCTTTGAGAAAGGACTCTTTAAATAAATTAATTTAAAAAGATGATGTGGAATGAAATTAGGAAGGTTGATGCATTCGACCAAGTAACTTACTGTGAGCCAACACTAAATTATCAGACCTTAAAAGCAATACAACTACAGTTTTAAGACATGTTTGCAGAGTTTCCCAGCCATTGTGTTTCCTTGATACGGCATCACTGTATTTCCTTGACTCTGTGTGTGCTTGGCTCTGAAATTAGACCTCTCAATCTTCCAAATGTCTATATTGCATTAAGGATAAAAATAAAAATGAAGAACACTGTTCTTTGTCGTTTAGAGCAGAAGCCAATACCTCCTGAGTTTATCCCAAGGTACTATGAATGGATATGCTTTTAGCCTGTGAATCAATTGTGTTAATTTTATAATTTCTCAATAATGGACCTTGCATATTTCCAACTTTAAAAAAACACATTGAAATTTGAATGTGCTTAATTAGAAAAAAAATCTTTGAAATTCACAGTGGTGTAACTATACATTGGGAGCAGTGAGAAAATTGGGACATCGGGAAAAATGCAGATTATTTGATGTAGTCATGACTGCTGATTGGCAGGTAGCAAAAGACAATGAGATGGTGGAGTGTAGAGGGGTGAGGGGAGGAGGGTGATGAACTAGAGTAACTCATACAGACTTCTCCAGGTCTCTCTGAACTCTTTAAGCTTCAGTTATTCAAGTCTGTGGTATATAATGGATTATGAAACAACTTGGTCTATTACCCACAATTAAAAATGTGACTGAATGATGTTTTTAAGATGCTACACATTTGATAATAGGTAGCTTTGGAGATAACTCTGAAGTCCCCCTTTGTTTATTATTTGATAACCTTCTCTCCTAGGGAAATTGTTTTTTCAGCCATGTGCTAAAGGTGGGTTTAAGAACCAGTTGGCTCTGGAGACAGTTTTACCTCCTTTGTGAAATGACTCTTCCAAGTCCTAACCAATGCAGCTGCCCTGCTTTCAAGAAAGTGCCACACTCTTCTCTTTCTGGGATTTGGCTGTAGCCTTCTCTTGAGCCATCTGCTGCTTAGAAGAACTAATCTTAGGAGAAAAGAACTCCATAAATTCAAGTCATTACAACTAGACCAAGCTTTTTCTTTCTTCTATCTAATAATTCCAAATTTACCAAAGAAGTTAAAAAAATCTGTGACAATAAGAATCAAAGGCTAAGGCAAGTGTAAAGCATCACACTTTATTATGCTAAGTGTAGTAACTTGTGATCAGTTTCCAAAACTATGTATTACTTGATTGAGTTGGAACTGTTTTAGTCAGGAGAAGAAAATGAAGGCTCAAGAAAGATGTAAACTGGCCTGATTCTATTTTGCCAGATTTGGGAATATGCTTTATTTATTTATTTTTAGAGATAAAATATCACTTTCAAAATGTCAAAATTTTAACATCTTTATTCTCCCCCCCCCCCAAACCTAATTCCCTTCTGCTCTTCCTTGCCTTGGTGACTCAGTGTGCCATCCTCCCAGTTGCTCAAGCCAGAAACGCTGATGTCATCCTGGATTACTCCTTCTCTACCCCCTACTGCATCCAGTTTGTCCCCAAGCATCTATGTGATTCTGAGTGTCTCCCTGTCTCTTCAAATTTGAATAAGCATCATACGTAACCTAGTGTCTCTTCTGATCTCTACATCTTTGACTTGCTCCCTCCCTCAATTCCTTTAGAAATGTGTTTCTAGTCATCTTTCCCATATGCAAATCTGATCATGTTCCTCTCTTACTCAAGGTTCTTTAACGGCTAGCCATCACCCTCTGAGTAAAATCCAATCTACTCTGCAATGCCTGCAAAGAAAGCCCTCCAGGATCTGTCCCTGATTTCTGCATGGCTTCACCTCCTGCTATTTCCTCCTTCCAGCCTTGTAATTTCCCCCAAACAAACCTGTTCTGTCAAATTCATTTGCTTTGGAACACGCTGTTTTTCCAGTGTTGCATTTCTGTTGAGCTTATTCAACTTGCTGGTCTCCAGTGAAGCAAAGCCTTCCTTGGTCCCCAGACAGATGTCGAAGTCTTTCCTCTAGGCATCCCATTGCATGTGGTACTTACTTCTTGTATCATAATCTCTGAATTTTATGGATTGTGTATGTTCTTCCTACCTAATATTTTTTTTAGCCTGAGTCCTTACAAATCTTGTAAGTTTTATGATTTGGGGAAAATTAGTTAACCTTCCCAAGCCTCAATTTCATCTCTAGTATATTATATTGATATATACTATATATTACTATAATATCAACACAATGTATCATAAGTATATATTAGATGTTACAATAATATATTATGACATATATTATAAACACACTAGATTGTATAATTATATAATGTTATTATATTATTAAATATTATATAAGATAGGGTCAAAAATGGTAACTACCTCCTAAGGTTGTTGGAGGAAGTAACTTGAAAGCCCTTGGCACAATTGCTGGCACACAGTAGGCCAGCAATATACGTGTACCTTCCTGTCTCTAGTGTGCATGATGGGAATTAGCATCCGTTTTTTCCTGTTACTGAGAAACAAAACCCAAAAACTTCCCATGTGTTCCCATAAAAGAGAGGAAGCAGGACCCTTGAAGCACCTTTCCACAGTTTTCTTTGGCCTCTGCATGTATGCACCATTATACGGGATCAGGTGACCAGGCAGATACCCCAGATTTTAATGTTTGCAGCTGACTCAGAAAATCCAGTTAACTAAAAGTGGATTTGATTTTAGGGATTGAGAGCCAATTTTGGAACACAAAAATGGAGTTTGCTTGACTTTATTACTAACTGAGGCTGAGATTCGTCAGGTTAGTGTGACTGTGAGACTTGATGTTTTTCCCTTTGGTCTACAGGGTGATTTCACCTGGAACAGCATGTCGGGCCGCAGCGTGCGGCTGAGGTCAGTCCCCATCCAGAGCCTCTCGGAGCTGGAGCGAGCCCGGCTACAGGAAGTGGCTTTTTATCAGCTGCAGCAGGACTGTGACCTGAGCTGTCAGATCACCATTCCCAAAGGTAAGGCCCCGTCTGCCATTCCATCGGGGGTGCTGCAAGGCAACCGCCCGCTCCCCCAGAGCCCCAGTGGCACTCTCCTCCCAGCCCCACCATTGACACAGGAAGGAAGCTACACCTTCCAGGTCGTTGGCTGGCATTGGTGTCCGTTTTGAAAGACATGTTCAAGTGGGACAACTTACGTGTAAACTAATACATTTATTTAAAGGGAAGATCAGCTGGGGGTATTAAAAGGGAACGCTGTGTGTATCTTAACAGTCTATGTGGCTTCAGCACAATTAAAAAGAAATTTCCAAAAGGTCAGCTTGAAGAGTTACAAGAAAAACCACGTCTCTGTCAATACAATTTCAAAATAACCAGCTGGAAAGAATGTTTTAACAACCTGTTCAACTTGTCACTTGACCTTCTGCCAACTCAGAATTGGTGATTACACCAATGTGAACTCCTTCTGACCCAGCCTTTCACCTGGCGTGTCTGTCAGGGTTCACCACTATAACCCTGGAGCCGGTACAGGCCTGGCTGTCTGATGTTTTTACAAGCACAGATCCTGATTCCTATAAAGATGAGAAGCATACATTTGAAATTCTTTGATCTCTAAAGTCTGTTTCTGAATGTTTACCAGCTTCTATAAAAGTACATTGTAATTCGTATTAGTGTGGAGGAGAAAGGGAATTTGAGGTAGAGTGAAAAGCTATGGTGTTATACAAATAGAGAACCTGCCATAAAAAGCATCACTGGCTGGTGTGCCTGAAACTTAAAGGGAAGCAGGAGAGAGATAGCAAGCATCCAAAAGCTAGAAGATTGCCTCAGAAGATTTGGTATCTGCAGGACTTCTACTTTATTTTATGAGACGGTTGAGGGGCTGCTTCATGAATTTTTATTCATAAAATCATTTACATCCTCCCTATACACATACATATAGATATGGTGTTCTCACTCAGGGGTGGTTTTGCCCCCATCCCCAGGTAAAATCTGGCAGTGTCTGGTTCCACTTTCTGTTTTCACAGCTTGGGGAAACGATGCAGCTGGCACCTAGTGGGTAGAGGCCAGGGATGCTGTTAAATATCCAATAATACACAGAACAGTGCCCCACAACACGCATTGTCAGGCCCCAAGGGCCCAAGTGCACAGGCTGAACAACTTTGATATACACATGAACACGTGCTCATGTGCTGCCAACAGCAGTGCTGATGGAAAGGGCACTGGCTTGGGAGTCTGAAAACCAGGATGTGAGGACTTGTCCAGTCACCCCACCTCTACATGTGGGCCTGTGCAATTCACCTCTGTCGTGGGAGGCTCAGTTTTGTTGACTAGAAAGAGTAGCACAAAAACACTGACCACACAGAGTTTTTCACTGGATGGTGACTCTTAGGGCCACTTTTATTCTTTTTTTTTAAGATTGAAGTATAGTTGATTTATAATATTGTATTAGTTTCAGTTGAACATCTTAGTGGTTCAGTATCTTTGCAGATTATATTCCATTAAAAGTTATTACAAGATAATGGCTGTGATTCCCTGTGCTGCACAATATCTCCTTGTTGCTTATCTATTTTATACATAGTAGTTTGTATCTCTTAATCCCATACCCCTATCTTGCCACTGGTAACCACTAGTTTGTTTTGTATAACTGTGAGTCTGTTTCTTTTTTGCTGTGTATATTGGTTTGTTTTATTTTTAGATTCTATATATAAGTGATATCATAAAGTATTTATCTTTCTCTATGTGACATTTCACTAAGAATAATATTCTCTAAGTCCATCCACATTGCTGCAAATGGCAGAATTTCGTTATTTTTAAATGGCTAAGTAATATTCCATTGTGTGTGTGTATATATATACATCTTCTTTGTCCAGTCATCGGTTGATGGACACTTGAGTTGTTTCCATATCTTGGCTATTGTAAAAAATGCTGTTATGAACATGGGGTTCATGTTTCGTTTTGAATTAGTGTTTTCATTTTTTTCTGGAAATATACCCAGCTGTGGAATTGCTGGATCATATGGTAAGTCTATTTTTAGTTTTTTGAGGAACCTTCATTCTGTTTTCCACAGTGGCTGCACCAACTTACATTCCCACCAACAGTGTAGGAGGGTTCCCTTTTCTCCACATCTTCACCAACATTTCTTATTTGTAGATTTTTTGATGATGGCCATTCTGACAGGTGTGAGGTGATACCTCATTGTTGTTTTGATTTGCATTTCTCAAATAGTTAGTGATGTTGAGCAACTTTCACGTGCCTGTTAGCCATCTATATGTCTTCTTTGGAAAAATGTGTATTCAGGCCTTCTGTCCATTTTTTGATTGGGTTGTTTATTTTTTGATATTGAGCTGTATGAGCTGTTTATATATTTTGGATATTAACCCCTTGTCAGTCATATCATTTGCAAATATTTTCTCCCAGTCTGTAGGTTGTCTTTTTGTTTTGTCAGTGGTTTCCTTTACTGTGCACAAGCTTTTAAGTTTAATTAGGGCCCATCTGTTTATTTTTGTTTTTGTTTCTTTTGTCTTAGGAGACAGATTCAAAAAAATATTGCTGCAATTTATGTCAGAGTGTTCTGCCTATGTTCTCTTCTGGGAGTTTTATGGTTTCAGGTTTTGTATTTAGATCTTTAATCCATTCTGAGTTTATTTTTGTATATGGTGTGAGGAAATGTTCTTATCTCATTCTTTTACATGTAGCTCTCCAGTTTTCCCAGCACCACTTACTGAAGAGACTGTCTTCTCCCTTGTATATTTTTGCCTCCTTTGTCATAGTTTATTGACCAGAGGTGCATGGGTTTATTTCTAGGCTCTCTGTTCTGTTCCAGTGATACATATATATGTCTGGTTTTGTGTCAGTGCCATGCTGTTTTGATTACTGAGCTTTGTTGTTTAGTCTGAAGGCTAGGAAGGTGAGACCTCCAGCTTTGTTCTTTTTTCTCAGGATTTCTTTGGCAATTCCAGGTCTTTTGTGGTTCCATGTAAATTTTAGGGTTATTTGTTCTAGTTCTGTGCAAAATGTCATGGATATTTTGATAGGGATCGCATTAAATCTGTAAATTGCTTCAGGTAGTGTGTCTGTTTTAACAATATTAATTCTTCTAATCCAAGAGCATGGGATTTTTTTAATTCCTTTGTATCATCTTCAATTTTCCTCCTCAGTGTTTTATAATTTTCAGAGTGCGAGTCTTTCACCTTCTTGGTTAAGTTGATTCCTAGATATTTTATTCTTTCTGTTGTGACTTTAAATGGGGTCTTTTTTACTTTCTCTTTCTGAGAGTTCATTATTAGTGTATTGAGAAGCAACATATTTCTGTATATTAATCTTGTATCCTGCAGCTTTACTGAATTCGTTTATTAGTACTAACAGTATTTTTGGTGCAGACTTTAGGGTTTTCTATATAAAGAATCACATCATCTGCAAATAGGGACAGTTTTACTTCTTCCCTTCCAACTTGGATGCCTTTTATTTTTTTACTTGACTGATGGCTGAGACAAGGACTTCCAATACTATGTTAAACAAGAAGTGGCAAGAGGAGCCACTTTTATTCTTTAAGCTGGAATCTGGAACTCTGCCAGAGGTCATGAAAGAGTTCAGGAGAAGGGAGGAGTAGATTAGACCAAGGGACTGATGGAACAGGCACATTTCACTGACTGCTGTTTTGCTCCTTTGGCTTCCTCATCACACACTCCTTAACACCACAACCACAGCCAGTTCCTCCCAGGAGGAAATCCCTACCCCTGTTATATCTTTTCATGCTAATGTAACACAGATATCCTCAGCTCAAGTTACAAGAAAATCCGTTTGGCGATTGGTGACAAAAGAGTGCTAATCGCCGCCAGGCCATGCTGCTGCTTCTCCCTGGGACAATCTCATTCTGCCTCATCTTGTCTTGGTTTGGTTTTAGGGTGGAGAGGAGGCCTGCCCTGGCCTCGCCATTAACTTACAAGGTGGCCCAGGTGGGGCACAAGAATCCTGTCTCCCTTTCACAGGAACTGATGTTTTTCAGTTCCTAAAAAAAATTTTAATAGAAATATTGTTGGCAAACCCAATTTATAGTGAAAGGAATGATGACTCTAAAAAGTTATGTGAAACCCAGATTGGCTGCACATCAGATGAAATATCAAGAAACAAATATTCTTTGTAGCTTTGTTTTTAAATCCAGTTAATTTGATGTTTTTCTTTGTTCTTGTTTTTTAGAGTCCACTAAATAAATAACCTTTACCAAGCAGGCAGTTTTATAAAACTTATCTGCTAGAAGCTCTCTCTCCATTGCTTATTTCTGAGACTATGTGGGTCCTAGCACATTCAGGAAAAGATTTGTTCTATCAAGATGTTCAAAGATGTTTGGGCTACAGGAGTTATTCTGATATTTTCTACCAAAATGGGAGCTAATGATTTATAAACAATTTCTTACTTATGGAGGAGAGAAGGAATTGTGTGGCTGGGTGGGAAAGAAAAAGGTATCACCCAGGAGTTCTGAAGCTATTGTTTTGGAAAGATGATTATTGACATTGAATATTTAACGAGATCTATCAAATGTGTAACCAGCGCTGAGTGCTGTGATGGCAGCTTTGGTCAGAGGGTGGCCACTGGGTTCCATGCAAACCCCCAAGTGGAGGTTCTAAACAGGGTCAGATTCGCTGTATGAATAATTTACTCAGGAAAATAATATAGTTGCCAGGGTCTAGAACCTCAGGAAATGATACCAGGCCTAAAGACATAGTGTGTATAATGAAAATGGAAACATACTCAAACTTCCGTTTTTGTTCTTTGTCACCTTAGGATGACTATAAGGATTTATTTATGGGTAACTGTTTGGAGGACCCTCTTCCTCTATGAGCCTGGTGCTTCCAGGGCTCAGATGAATGATAATATAACATATTCAACAGCTACTGGAATTTACCATAGAGAGAGAAGAATTGAGTATTAGGAGGTTGGGAAATTACTGGGGTTATTTCCTAGAGTGGACTGCAGGGGTGGGATCTAAAGCACAGGTAGAGAATTTGACCTCTTCTTGAGCT